AAACCCTAAACCCTGAAACCTAACAGCAACTCCCCATGTGACAGATGAAGGCCAGGCTTCAAGTAGGCGGCGATCTTCTTGTGGCCGGCCTTGTCCTGTTCCTCATAGGATGACTATTTCTACTACTTGCCTTTTTAGGGTTTAGGGTTTAGGGTCCTGTTCCTCATGAGGATATTCAAGCACATTACCAATCTACTCCGCTTGATCTTTCAACCTATTTGGCTCAAAGTGCTTCAAGTACAGAATGCGCAGGCCATGATGTTGGCAAGTCAACATTGATGTGCACCGGTACTGCTCCTGCATGCCCTTCACCATGTTCATGGCGTAGGTCCCACCTGCGCTGCAGTTTGCATAACCACAGTCTTGGGAGCCTCCCGACCCAAAATGGAGAGGCCTTCATAGGGCATAATACGAAGCCATACAAAACCTTAACATGTGATAGGAGGTACACGCAGCAACGGCCCTTGGTGCCTTGTGGGCCTGTAGAACCTGTGGCACAGGAAAGCTCGCAAGCAAGAGTCGCTGAATAGTTCATATGCCAGCCACAAGATAGCGATAGCAAAGCCTCAATCATGCAAACAACTGCGCGGCCGAGTATGACGATGAGTACGTTTAGGGTTTATTGGGTGAGTTTATGGTGATTCAGCAAGGCTTCTCGTTTGCTTGCACTTGGCTGTACAGTAAGTTGTTGACAACCAAAGCCCTGGCTCCGGGCATCATTAGAAAGACCCCGCGTGGTAATTTCCCTGAATAGGGGGCCTCAACATAGACCCCAATATGCTGTCGTCCTTTTTTACAGGGACCTCCAAAAAGGTACCCCGAATTTTCGGAAACCTTAAACACTGTATAACGCTAGGTGGTGCCTATATCCCCTTGAAAAGTAACCCAAATTTTGGGAAACCCCAAATGAGCTATAGTCTAAACTCCTAGTATCCCCCTTAATAACCCCTATAGTAGTCCCCTATATTATCCCCCATATAACACCCTTTAAGGAGTTTAGACCCTAAACCCTAGATCCTAAACCCTATATAATCCCTTATATAACCCCCTTTAAGCTCAAATATTCCGGCCCAGGTGCTAAGCAGCGGGTCCTCCCCTGCTAGCTCGGAAGTTCGCCCGAAGCGCGGGTCCCGGGCAATGTTGATGTTCGGCCCAAAGCCCGTGAGGCACCTGAGCTCCCCCTATAGTCCCACTTAAGGAGATAGAATATAGGGTTAGGATTTAGGGTTTAAGCGGTTTAGGGTTTAGGATTTAGGGTTTAGGCGGTTTAGGGTTTAGGATTTGTGGTTTAGGGGACATTCATTCCAGATTGTCGTTTGGCAGCCGCATGGTGAAGCTCGCAAGCAGGATCTTTGTGGTAGGTGAGAACTATTTTCTTTCGTTTGGCAATGGCTTTGGGCTCTTAGAAGTCCATCACAAGGTCCTCCGGCATGGGGTTTTAGAGTTCTGTCTGGCCAAATTACAGTAGTAATAATCAATAAAAAAATACCAACAATAATAACAGTACTGATAATAGCTCTTTGTGGGATCGCTAGGGTGTTGCCTGACGGCAAGCTAGAGCGCAGTATGAATTTCTTGCTGTTGTTGCTCATTGGGGTTATATGGGGATAAAGGAAAGTAATAAGTTATATAAGGATAATGGAAAAGAAAAATGGACATGTTTTGGAGGGCTTGACTAGATTTTGGGACATAGGAAACATGCAGGTACTTTGAGCTCTTGACGGGACATGATATGGTGGTTTACCAAAATCAGGGATACCTTTAATGGGGATATAGATTATATAGGGTTAGTTAAGGTTTACGGTTTCCCAAAATGAGGGATACCTCTTGAAGGGGTCCCCACGACGAGGCTTATAGAATTTTGGGCTCTATATTTTGGGCTCCCTCTATTTTGGGACACTACCGTGCGACCCCGTTTTCATGTGCCCTGCAGGCCCCGCTAGTTCACACAAGCAATGCAACAAAGGCCTAAGTGGGTTGGAGGCTGCCTGACCACCGTGTGCATTCCCTGATCTGGGGCACCCTAAACCCCAAGCCCTAAACGCTAGACCCCATACCTGAACCCTTTTGCAACAGGTCTTCTGGAGCTCCACCCGGTCAAGCAGCACTCTGCTCTCACCTCTTCCTTAGATAATGTACTGTGCCCTGAACCCTAAACGCTGAATCCCCAAGCCTAAACCCACAGCCTAGGCGCACAGGATTTTTGTGATCCTGTCTGAAGCGCGAGCCGCCGTAGTTGGAGAGCGCGCGCTGCTCCGTGCCCAACACCTGGCCAAACAGGACAAGGGGCCATTACTGCTAGATTACTACCATGCTTCTTATTGTTCATATTCTTCTTACTGTTCTTGTTATTACGATTGTTACAAGCACTATTAGGGTATATGTTGGGATGTCATATCCAGTGACTGTAGGCATTCCAAGGATTATTTCAAGGCTCCTTTCTCCCAGAACTGAAAGTGAATATCACGTAAACCACATCGTGGCCGTGACTGTAGCTTGGCACAAGTAAACAGTGACAGACTTGCACCGGCTCCATCAGGTTCAGTGACATCGTCAGAGAGCCAAATATATAACCCCACGTATGCCCCTGCGCAGACCCTTCCAGTGCAAGAATTGGAAGGTCCGGGGGAGCTTTGTGAGGAGGTTAACAAGCTGGTGTCACTATTTGCTTGTAGGGGCTTAAAATGTGTTACTGAATCCTCCTAAACCCTAAACTTCAGCCCTAGATCTCACATAACATAATAATTTTGAATGTCTTTGCCATTCCTCAATTCCACATGCAGTCTTTGCCATTCCTCCATTCCACATGCAGTCCCCTTAAACCTCTCAACCCTGAAATCCCCCAACCCAGACACTCCAAACCTTAGGCACTAAACCCCTTAAACCCTTGACCCCTTAAACCTTGAAACCCTTACACCCTGAACCCTTAAATACTTACTGCCCAGCCTGGCCCTTCAACTTACCTTTGGTTAGCTAGGAATGAAGGAATGGATCCTTGTAGTAGTCCCTATCTAACCCAATATAGTGGTAGCCATCTTCTTTTCCATTCCTTCATTCCCATCCTTAACTTTTAACCCTAAACCCTCAACCCTAAACCCTAAACCCTGAGCCCTAAACGCTAATCCTCCTCTAACACCAATATTAACCCCTATAATCCCTTTAGATTCCATTTTCTTTTCCATTATCCCAATATAGCCCCTAAACCCTAAACCTTATATAACCCGATTATAGTAGTTTCCATTTTCTTTTCCACTTCTGCATTCCCAGCCGTGCAGCCTGGCCCTTCAAGAGCCAAGAGGACCGATTGAAGGAGGCCGCCATGCCCATGGGTCCAACCTCCGGTTTAAGGTTTAGGGGGTTTAGGGTTTAGGGGGTTTAGGGTTTAGGGTTTAGAGGGTTTAGGGGGTTTAGGGTTTAGGGGGTTTAGAGTTTAGGGTTTAGGGCCATGCCCATGGGTCCAACCTCCGTGGCTCATGGGTTGAGGGTTTCAGAGATTAGGGATTTAGGGCCTTTTTTAAAAGGATTTAGGGATTGGTGTTTAGGGTTTTGTTTAGGGATTTAAGGTTTAGGCTTAAGGTTGGAGGTTTAGGCGTAGAGGCCCCCCCCCCACCCAGTAACAGTCTGCAATCGGGGTAATACCTAGGGCTATATTTACTTATCTTCATAGTAGTATCCAACTGTTACTGAGTGGGGAAGTCCAGCCAAGGCCATACGTGGAGGCTCTATGAGGCTATATATGGTTGTATGGGGTTGATTAAGGTTCAATGGGTTAGTCAGGGTTCTATGGGGTTGTGGGGATTATGTGTGCTCTAGTGATATCACCTCTACGATGGGGAATCACATGGAAATGAACACAGAAAAACAACGGAAGCAACCTCACGTTCATGGAGACCACGAAGCAAACAAGGCTTCAAGAAACCTGCTGGCTATCTCGAACGCGAAAGTGTGGATTGAATGCCTTGCCAAGGGTCAAAGTTAGTCACACAGTGGCCTTCAGCTGGGCAGGCAGCATCCACGCCTGAACTTCTTTACGTAAAGTTTAAAGTTTAGGGTTTAGGGTTTAGGTGCAGGTTTCAAGTGGCAGCCCAAAAGCTGCAAGTTCTCAAGTGATGGTCCTCTTTGTTCCAGAAACGCTCGTAAAGCAGCCGCCAACAGATAGGTCACAGACCGCCAAATCACATGTAGCATGCCAAGAGACCGTCCAAACTTATGTTGCAAGAGGGCACTAACGCATGCCCATTGGGATCATGGACAAAAATGGAAACTAATGTAGTATATTGGAGCTACATGTTGGGATAATGGAAAAGAAAATGGAAACTACTACAGTATATATTGAGATAACCGGAAAGAAAATGGAAACTACTATACGTAGTATATGCCTGCCGGAATGTAGAAACTTAAGCATCACAGCCAAACCAGAGCTCACCCCTGTCAACCGGCCACATCCAATTCCTAAACTCTCAACCTCGCCGCCTAAACCAAAGATCCTAGGTTTAGGGTTCAGGGTTTAGAGTTGCCCGAAGCCCTCTGCCAGCCTACCTAAACCCTAAACCCTAGATAGTAGCCTCCATTTTCTTTTCCATTCTCCCTATATAACCCCCAATATACTATAGTACAATAGTTTCCATTATATTTTCCATTATCCCTGAGCCCTATATACCCTAATATACTACCCATACATAGCCCCTATATGATATAGTAAACCCATGACTGCGCCTGTGTTGCTTTCGACAAGCCAGAGCCAAGGCGGGAGGCCAATATCTTCCTTGCCGCTCGTGAAGGTGGTGCACGTTCCTGCCACTATGGTGGATACTCAACATCCTGGATGGCTCTGAGGGGCTTGAAATTTGGAGATTGTGGTACTGCAGTATACTAAGGTCATGCAAGGGCTTTAGCATCAATAGTGGCGCCAACACCAGCAGCAGCGGCGGTGGCGGCGGTGGTGCGAGTGCTAGTGGCAGTTCTGCTGATGAAGCATCATGATACTCCATGGCATCGTGTCCGACAGACAACATACGATGCAGCACATGTTGCGCAAACAGCGAAAAGTACTGCACAACAGCTGCGAGGGGAGGTTTCTTGCAGCCCAGAGGCGGATTCTGTGGCAACTTCTTACCCGTACCCTCCTCGAAAAGATCAAACAACATTGCAGAAGGCGACGTGGAGCGAGGGCTTCGTGAGGTATCCAGCAGGAGTGTTCATACCCGAGTGAAAACACAAAAAAAAAACATGACCCCTCAACCCTAAGCCCTAGACCTCAAGGCGCACCTCCCAGCGCACTATTTGGCGTGATCTGGCGGATCTTGTCGTCACGATCCAGCCGTGACATCAGGTCATCCAGACCTTCACCAAGAAGGACATACAGAGTAGGGCTCAGGGCTTCGGATATTCCATGCATCAAGGTGTATAGGATAAAAAGTGTATAGGATTTTGCCCATCAACCGTATGAACCCTTCGTTCCCTTCCAAAACCTATTGAGCTACCTAAGAAAATCTCTGCATAACCCCGCGTGACCACCTTTTCAATCACATACGCTGCATAATTACTCCTCTACCATTATCTCACTATCGGCATTCCACACCTCCCTTGAAAGATCGGAACTTCTGACCTTTGGGTGATCTGCAGGTTATAGCATGAAAGGGATTTCCGAGCATCATCAAAGTAAGAGCTAAATAAAGGCTGTAGGGGATCACATGCGATCTTTTGTGGAATGACTGGGTTTGCTATTGATGAACTTTAAATTAAGTTACCATAGTATGTGTATATGGTAGGTAAATTGTAGGGTTTCCTGATTATAGTAACCCTAAACGCTCAACCTCATTATAAAAAATCAATTTAAGCGCCTTAAAAGCAACCTAGATGAAGGGCTGGGATTGCCGTAGCGGACCTTGACGTTGCGAGGAACGACTTAAATAACCCCCTGCCGAGATCCACCCTTTTGAGCAACGGACTTGATGAATGCCGGCGGCCACAGCTGGGACTTCCCTTCTCTGATGAGATCCACCCTAAGACCAGAACCCGTAATTCCAAGGATTTAGGGTTTAGAGTTTAGGGCTTCTCAGATTTCTACGCCCCTTCCCAATTTGATTTTTAGCTTCAAGGCTTCTACAAGCCAAAATCTTATGGTCTTGCTGCAGACGCGGTTGAGGGTTCAGGGTTTAGGTTGTCGTGAGCAACTGAACTGCACATGGGGCGCGGGCTCAGTGTCTGTTAGTCAGTCCCTGGAAGGAAGGAACGGAACACCAACATTTTGATTGGGGATTGTATAGGGGCATTCCTCCCGATTAACCACCCACCCTAAATCCTAAACCGAATTGTCCCCTTTAGTTATACCCCCTGAACAATTTCGATACCTTGCTGTAGGGGCCCCCAAGACCCTTTTCTGTTCACCTCGAAACCCCTGGGCAATTTCCCTAAACCCTAGAGGGTTTTGGGTTGGACTAAACCCAAAGGCACTCGTCAACTCCCCAAGAATCCACTCAGACACCCAAACTCAAAACTCCAAATGTCCAAACGCTGCTCCTTCAGGGCCAGAGCCCAAACACTAAATCCACATCTAAACCCCGACCCTGCTCCCTGAACCCTTGACGTAAATCTCATCTAAAGCCCCTGTCGCTCCTAGTACGTAGTCCAGGCGAGAAGCGCTGCTGGACGGAAAGCCGCGTGTCACAGTAGGGAAGAGCCCTGGCCTCAGCATAGTACGGACATTACCCCAATGAAGGGGAATCAAACGGAATAGAAGATGGAAATTGCAGTGCTCAAGGGATGCCTCCATTACCAAGCATGACCTCAAGAATGCATGAATCATTGGCAGCAAGGATTTGGTAGCTAAGACAGCAAATCCATTGGAATGCATGAGATGAAGTCCAGGGAAACTCAACTTCTGAGTACATATAGTCCCCCTTAGTTAAGTAGATAGGATATGGTTTTGAGTAAATTATAAGAAGATCCCCATGTATCCCATATTCTATCTACTTAAGGGGCACTATACATAGACCGTCGCAACATCTTCCTACACACGCGCTCCTTGGACCTGCCATCCAGTGCGGTTCTTGTTTTCAGGGCTGCGCCTTCTGCGGTTATGGACTCCACACAAGCTACAGTTACCATTTGCATGCATTTCTGGGGTCACAAGCAATATGGAATGCTGATACCCACTCAATCCGGACCTGAGTGATCGTGTTAATTCCCAGTAGGACAGGACACTGAGAACACGAGCAATGTCGCGTGCGTATATATATATATGTAGATATTAGATATATTCATGTTTGTTTATCCGTTCTTTCCCCCAGTATAATATGCGACTGTTGACACACATGGAGCACGTCGACATGCGCTGATTGGCAAGCGCAAAGAGTCGGGACTTGCGACGGAGGAGGTGGAATGCCTTGAGGAGAAAGCTGCTTGTCAGCCAAGGTAATCCAAGAGGGCATGCCACGTAGCTTGCATCGCGTAATTTTAGTTGGGTGTGGACCTACGCAGGCAACGGAAGATGCGCACGCGCGCTTGCAACACCGGCAGCTGAGGCGGTTGCCGACCCCATCAGCTTGAATCTCTTGGGTTAGGGTTTAGGTTTTAGGGTTTAGGGGACTCGAGGCAGGGAGTTTCTCAAGCACTAGCATGATGCCAAGCAAGGCTTTGATGATGGCAACCCTGCACTGGTCACATGAAACTAGTCTGCCAAAAGGACTGGGTTGGATGTTGGGAGCAAGTGAGGGAGCGGCGGCACCCAAATTTCTTGTTCTTAGTAAGGAATAAGGGAATATCCATATTTCCTGCAAAGAACCAGTGCGATGAGAGAACAGTGGCACCCCATCCCTACGAACTCCCATGATGCGCAACGCGCGCTCTTCACTGGCGGGCTGCTTGAGGATGGCTGCACTTTTTGCTGGTTCTTTGTAAGGAAAATGGGAATGTACTGCCTTAAGGGGTTATGTAGGGGTTATACTCCCTTATTCCCTACTGAGAGCAAGTAAGACTTGGGTGGAAAGTGAGGCGCTCTGCACTTGGGGATGTGCAGCATGGTTGGCATGCAGATTTGCCGTGAAGACGACGCCTATCAAGACTATTGCCCTTGACGTAGTGACATTTGACCACGTGAAGGTCGAGACGGGGGATAAAGGCGGCAAGTTGATGGACAGCATTCATTCATAAAGGACGCACACTTCACCTGTGGGTCACCTGCAAGATCAGCACGTCATATGTGAAGGCGACGGGTGCTATTGCCAACTTCGAGGGCAAGACCCAGGACAAGCAACAGTTGGTCATGAGTCCTTGGTACGGCGCTCTTCCTTGCAGCAGTTATGCTAGGCTCGCCTTCAAGTTGAACCAGTACGGACCCATCCTTGCAGAGGTGTTTCCTACTTGGTTGTCATGTCTTGCAGCCTCTACGCAGTGACTGTCCTTAACTTGGACAAGCCTTGGCCCAACCTCGTTGCAATATCTACCTATGTGTCGGCTGTTTCTTGGTTGCAAACCCTTGCTTGGGGGTAAGCTTCATTCGGGGATGCATCTTGATTTGATTAGACTGCGTTCCTAGGTGAAACGGTCTTTCTGGAAGATCCGGCCTTTTGCAAGATACTCTCACCATTTTAGCCATTTGCAGCATCTCATGATATGCTCACGATGCTGCGCGCGCTAAGCGCATACTGGTACCAAGCCAGATGTCTGCCGGAAGCTATCCCGACCCTTGCAAGCCCTAATGGGGACGGCGAACTCATCATTCAGCATATGCAAAGTCAAAAAACAATGGCTACTATTTGGTAGTTTCACCATATAGGGGGACCCCAATATAGAACCCAAAATACTACAGTCCTTATTATGGGGACCGTCCAAAATGGTAACCCCCAATTTTGGGAAACTCCCATGTGTATAGTTAGGGAGTGGTCGTATTAGGGCTAAATTTGGATAATGGAAAAATGGAAACTTCTGTTCAGGGTTTAGGGTTTAGGGCGTAAGGTTTAGGGTTTAGGATTTATGATACTTATTGGGGTCGTGGTCTTCTCGACCATTTTTTGCATCTGGGCTCGCGCACATCCACAAGGGTGCGCGAGCCCGGAAGAACAAAAGGTTCAAGGAATCATGGCCCTAAACTACCAAGGAAACGCTATATGCTCCAAATGTCCATTCCATTGTTCCTTTTCTTTTGCCAGCTCAGCTGATTCCTCACTGTCAGGCTAATGTTCCTAAATCCCAAACCTCATATTATGTGATAAGGCTGCGCGGGACAGAAAGTGATCCTCGTAAGCTATAAGGTACCCTCAACGACAGTGGATCTCTTTAACGGCCCACTTTAAAGACTATGCTGAGCTCGAGCAACAACCCTTCTCAAAACTCCCCTTCCTCCAGTCCTCCAGTTGTGGTAAATGGTAAAACTCTTCTCAAGCCCCTAGACTCTAGACCCCACACCCCTACATCTTTGGCCCCTAAACTAGGCCCTACACACCCTAAGCACTCTCGCACACTCAAGGCCCCAACACCCAAAACCCTAAACCTTTAACCCCGCAATCCCTGTCCACCCAAAACCCAAAAGCCTAAACCGTTAACCCTAAATCCCTCGACACCCAAAACCCAAAATCCTAAACCTTTAACCCTAAAATCCCTCTACACCCAAAACCTAAAGCCTTTAACCCCAAAATCCCTCTCTCCCCGCCTTCGGATCCACGCAGCCATGCCAGTTGGGCGTGGGCCAGTCGGCCGAGGCTGAGCCGACCAGCAGGAGCACTCCTCAGGCGTAGCATAGGGGCCTACATGTAGGGATATATACATATACATATATATATATATTGGGGTTATATAGGGATTAAAGGTATTATATTGGGATTATAGGGTATATATTGGGGTTGTGTAGAGATTATCGGGATTATGTAGGTGTTATATAGGATTATATGGGGATTATATAGGGGTTCTGTAAGGATATTACCCCTTATGATGGAGAATCAGATGGAAAAGCAGGTGAAATATGAAATGGAAGCTACTATTTTGAAAAATGAGACGGAAACTAGATTATCGTATAGGGCCTTCTACGGGCTGTAGTGTGAAGACCTGAATAAGTAATATATTCAGATCCGAATGGGAAAGCAAGCTGAACATGGAATAGAAACTGAGATTCTGGGGGTTGGTATAGGAATTGTGTGTAGGGGGTAGTAGGGTTTTACTGTAATCGCCTTAGGCCCATAAAGAGAAATAGTTTGCTAATTCCTTAGGGTTATCCTAGGATACAAACTCAAATAATTCCTAAGGAGACTACAGTTTAGGGTATGTTATACTTGTATTATGCAATGGTAATATGATGGGGATCCTATCGGTATGTTTTCAAACTTATACAGT